TTCTTTATATGTATACGATTTTGCTTCGAAACGCGATGGTGCGAGAAATATATATTACTAGTTATCATCCTGTGCACATGCACAGATGTACATAAAATATTATATGTAATATGTGTGAATTTAATATTAAAATTATAGATGATAAACATATCACATTTTCAAGATATGTGAATTTAATATTAAAATTTTAGATAATAAACATATCACATTTTCAAGACATGTGAATTTCATACTAAAATTCTAGATAATAGACATACCACATTTCAAGATTTAATCATTCGTAAAAATAAAATAATATTTATATAAATTATTTGAGTACATATGAATCACTATATAGATTAAAAAAAATATTGTGGGTAATGTAATTTTTATAATTTGGAGAGATCATGGTCAAATAGTTTACTTGAAAACTTTATTATAATAACAATAATAATAACAATAATAATAATAATAATAATAATAATAATAATAATAATAATAATAATAATAATAATAATAATAATAATAATTACTATTCTTATTACAACGACAATTGTTTATAAGATTTTAAAGTTTTTTTTACTATACTATTAAAACTATTTACTAATTATTTCTAAAGAAAATTGTTTCATGAAATACAAAATAATAATAATAATAATAATAATAATAATAATAATAATAATAATAATAATAATATCATTCATAAAACCTAATTAAGTGTAATCATGTATTTATAAACCTGATTAATTAAAACTTCATTTATTTTCCCTCCAAAAGAAGTTACAAAATTTGTTATTCATATTTTGCCTTTCACATTAATACACCTATTAAGTGTAATCATGTATTTTTTTTGCTATTATATTATATAATAGTTAATGTTATTACCTTTTTTACATGATTATACTTAATAGGGGTGTATTAATGTGAAAGGCAAAATATAAATGACAAATTTTGTAACTTATTTTGGAGGGAAAATAAATGAGGTTTTATTAATTAGGTTTTATTTATGAGGTTTTATTTAATGACTAGTTTTAACCCGTGCATTTGCACGGAAAACCACATGATAGAGGAAAAAATGATAAAAAAAATACAAACAGTAGTAAAAATCATAAAAAAATCATTGGAATAAAAGATGTTTAATAAAAGTAAATTTAAATATTATTAGTTGCTTATTTATATACAACTTTCGTGGTTTTTACATCATAAATAGCTTCATCACCACATATCATCATATTCAAACCCCTCAAACTCGTGATTAAATACAGGCTCTTCACTACAAATAATCTCTTATAATAACATATACACTTAATAATTATATAAAATTTACAAACAATAAATTAAAAATATATATACCAGGTTTTTTGAATGATTGAACGCAAGTTTTCAGGAACTGACGGTGTTTGGAACGACGGTGTTACCGTAGACAAATCAGATAATGTACCTACATTGATTAAATTGAAAAAGTAAAATTTATAATAAAATATTTAGAATTTTATAATGTCAAAGTTAATATTTTAATCATTTGTGAAAAAAAAAATAAGCAAACACAAAGTCGTTCTAAGTTTCAATATACCAATCAGTACTAAATTTACACTTATAATGATTTTACTTGTTCAAATGATTATATTTTTTCATTACAAAGATTTAGGGTCATTTTTTTAATAATTTTTTACTATATATTATAGTAAATAATTTTGGGTCAAAAAATTAAAAAATTTGAGTCCATTTCGAATAGTTGTAAATAGGAATATTGGGCCATTATTACAAAAAGTTTTTGGAGAAATTTACACAGTTTACATCCCATAGAATAAATAATATCACATATACAATATTTCAACTTTTTCATCATAAATACGTGATTTTACAAATTAAATAAGATCTGGTGCTGTTAAGGGTCCAAAATAACCGCTTAGTGTATTTAATTACATAGTTAATTCCGATATTCGTGAGAATTTAAAAAATAGGGAACTCTCTTACATAATTATCGGGATATGTGATTACTCTCCATCTTTACACTCAACCGATTAAAAAAATAAGAACTAAAATCTGCTGCTCTCTCCCCCAAATCTCGATTTTCTTTCCATACAACATCATTCCAAAAAAAAA